GAAAGAATAATGGAATATCTCCGTGTTGAACGTCTCCTCTTAAGTTACGAGAAAGGTAATAAAAAATTGCTTTAAAAAATGCTCTGGTTAATATTAACTGCTTTAATGTTCTGTAGTTTACTTATAGCCTTGATAATTGGAAGATATAAAGATTGGAAATTATTAAATTAATAATTAAAGATGTAGAGATTGAACATTGAAGTATTCTTTTCAAGATTTCATTTTCCTTGGGAATATCTCTCAAAATCTTCTTTCAAGATTGTAAAGTTTTGACAATTGAAAAGGAAGTTCAAAAACGAAAAAATTGGAAAGTTCGAATGGTCGAAAATTTGGAAAATCGGAACTATCCCAATTTGAGAACTTGAATATTTGAAAATTTGTAAGTTCGAAACTTCGTCAGTTAAAAATTTTGGAAGTTCAAAAGTCATAAAATTCGAAGATTTGAAGCATCGAAAATTGGGAAGTGTAAAACATCGGTAACATGAACATTTGAAAGTTTATACATTCGATATCCAAATTTCCAACATTGGCAAACTGAAATTTTACACGTATTTACAATTCTTCCTACAACCACCTTAATTAACGTTCTACCATTTTAACCAAACATTTTATTGGTCAAAGGAAAATTAGTCTACAGACTCCTACTATAACTTCATCAATTATCTTCATATCAGCCTTTATACGCGTACATATAATTTTACCGAATTGATTTCAACAAAGAGCAATTAATATACTCTCGTCCCATGTAATGGCATTCCTTTCTCGTTTATGAAGCTTACTATACATTTTAGCAAATGAGAAATGTTTTTAATCTCCTCTCCGATAATTCCTTCCATCTTCTCTTTACTAATTAAATATTTTCTTCTATAAATAGATACGTCGTATCTATCTATATGCATTTTGGTTTTATTAATTAAATTCGCCTAAAATACAATTTTCGTAATGTTTTGTAAATACAAGTTCGAGAATAACAGAAACTATTTTGAATATCGCAAACACTGATTCATACTTCAACGTAATTTAATGGCGATTCCATTGAAGCTTGAAATAACATTCACTAATGAATCGACGCCACGGTGAAAACCAGTAACGTTAATCGCTTCTTATGAAACAAATATTCCACTGTAGTAAACAGGATTCGTGCGATTTGGTATTTTTATTCAACAGCTCGTTTATATGCGCTTGGAATTTTGCATTAATCGATTATCATACTGTTGGTCTATATCGTTACGTACGTAATTATAAATATCTGTTAACTTTCCTAATTTCTCACATTGTTGAAAATTTCGATTTTTTTCAATTTTATTTTTCTATTGAACATAAAATATTCCAAAATAAAATCTTCTGTATTTGCTCCAATTCTTTACGTCCCACTTTTCAATTTCCTTTCAATTCTTCGCGCTATTTTAAATTTCAAACATTGTCTCTTTTGTCGTATTTTTTGATTTACCGTAAAACATTCCACGAAACAATTTTTTTTATTCTTCATATAGATCGCTTGCTCAAAGAAAACATATTAGATCGTTCTATTTTCGTCAAAATGCACGAACGTTATATTTCTTAATTTTTTTAATTTAGAATTTTTCTCAAACAAAATATATAATATTTTTCTCCAACTTTAAACAATTGATCTCTGTAGCTAGGGGTTGGGTTAAGAGATGGATTAAAAGATCTGAAGGGATTAAATAATCAGAGGAATTAATGGAAGAAGTTAAAGCGTAAGTTAAGGGTGGAAATGAATTTTGTCGAAAGTGAAATTTCATTTCTTCTCGTTGGCATTCGGTTGTCAGGTGCTCGTAAACATGCCAACTAAATGTGCGGCTAGCTCGATTGCTTTTCTGTATTGCAACAACCGATAATGGGCTCGTTACGGGCATTTGTCGACGAATAAACGGCTTATTGAACGAGCATTCTTACGGTGCTCCATATTTCCTCACGCGGACACGTGTGCCAATAACTTCGAATTCGCATTTCTCATTTGAGGTTTCCTCGACAGAAATATTCTACGAGCTTTCTCCTTGATTAATTATCATTCGCATACCCATGTCGGTTTAGCATTCTTAATTATCATTTCTTCGTTTCAGATAAATATCGCGATAATTTAATATGAGAAATATAAAAAGATTAAATAAAAAAAAAATTTTGCATGCAAATTTTTAACGTTTCTTAAATATTTAGGGATTACGCAACTAAAAAATGTTATATGCAAATAAAACATTCTTTTCTAGTTTGAATAATTTCTAGTTGACAGTTTGAAGATAAAAAACTTAGTATTTCAGAATTACATGAATTTCTTTTTCTTTTTTGAAATATAAAGATGTGCTGTAAGCTATATATATGCGATATAAGTGATTGAACAATTAAAAAAAATTCTTTTTATAGATTAAACTCTTTTTTAATTAAATATTATTTTATTTACTATATCATTTGTTCAATGAAATTTATACATATATAAGATACATACATGTATGTGTTATATTATACTACATTTCTTTTTAAATAGAATTAAATAGAATAAAATAATATTGGCTTAACTGGGTGGGAACATGATCGGTTCATGAAATGTTTCAAATAAATATCGTCGTGTTTCATGGCATCATTAATATTCCACATTCTTGATCTTCATTGTTTTTATAACAAAAGCAGATATCTGGTCGTATTAAATAATACACGTATATTCATTCTTAATTACCGTATTGCATATATAGTTATAAAATTATTAAACACTGGCTGCTACTGAAATATACAACTAACCACCTCTGGAGCTGCATTCTTTTGTTTGATCAGAAATGTCTTTATTTTATGTAACGACGTTCCAATACGCAGTTTGCTGCTTTATTTGCTTGCCTAAATTATTTTATCGAAACACAGGCGCGAAAACTAGAATCCAATGTTGGTGTCACAAATAATCGAGCCGACGCAACATATGCGTTAGATGTAATGGTAGCGGATATATCAAGTGATTATGAATTTAATAAAAGATCAATAGTCGAATTGAACTTAAAACCATCACTTATGGCTATCATGCTTGAAAAATTACAGTTCGATGAAGAATTATGGAAATTGAATTCTATTCGTTACTTTCCACTTTATTTCAAAATGTTACCTCATCTTTTAGCGCTTAATTGGAACAACTATAATTGGAACATCCTCTCGATTAATTCCTTTGACTTATTCGCAGTCATCACCTTGGAAGTATAACGGAACACTGTTTCATAGGTGTGGCAAAAAGAAGGTTAAACTGTTTCGACGATGCGACCACAAAGATGTAGCTGGATTTGTATGTGAAGATAGATGTGTTTAATTCTATGTTGCATTAGATGAGTCTGATATGTCTGTGGAAGAGCGTGGGTGCTCTTTGTATAAGTGCAATCATCCTTAACTCTTGTTTCTTCTTAATCTTTTTTTCTCAAGGTAAATTGGGCTTTCAAAGATTGTTCTCTTTTAATTTCAACATCCTCGATTTTGAAATCTCGATTTTCGTTAAGGAGAGAAAGAGGAGCATCGATTATCGATTTCTTGAGAAATATTTAGGATGATTATTTATAACTATTATTTCGTATAATAAAGTTAAATACGAATGGTAGGAAACTATGGACAATAATATACAGCTGAAGATTCGCTCTTTCGAATAATTATTGCTATAATAAAAGAACTGTTCAGATTGTAGAAAATGCTTCTAAATTTTCCACAAAACGTGTCGGAAATCTCGTATGGAATACGAAGAGTATACATATATATACGTCGCGAGCTGCGCAATTAAATTTCCGGTGGGGTAAGATTCAACTGTAACTGAACGCCACTGGACAAAACGACGAGCGTTCCTAATCTTGACACACTATAACTTTTATCAAACTTTCCAATCTAATTTCTAGAAAATACAGCCATTGCAACTATAATAATTCTTGATTCGTCATCGTAGAAAATTCAATGAACGATTTTTTTTTAATAGATACTTCATACTTCAATGTAATATAACTCTGAAGAATAAAATAAAATACGATTTTTCTATATTTATTAAAATATCGGTATTGTAAATTTCATTAGCTTCCTCCCACAGTTAAAGTTATTACTCAAGAATTAAATATAAACTCATATGCGTGTGTGTGTTTGAAATTATAGAAGTGTCCATATTCTGAGTTCGGAATAACATCAACGATAGGTTTTCCAATTGTGGGAAGATTTTAATTAAAACTGAATGGAAAATACGATATGCGAAATAATATCAGGGTATTTCTAAACTGTTCATTTAATGTAACAAGAACTGATTTCTCGTATAGTTGATATCTCAGTATTAAACTCGAAAATAGGACGTTAGAAAAAAAAAAAAAGAAAATACGAGAAAAAAGGACAAAGATAAAAATAAGATAAAAATAAGTTATAATCCAAATTGTGTGATAATCAAAGTGACCAAAATTAATTCGGCAATATCAAGGAATTGAATTTTATTTCGCTCTAAATCCTCTTTAAATTATAATCCCTCAACCAATTATATCGACTTGCTCATATATTTACAATTTCTTAAATATCTGCAATCTCAGAATTTATAACATTATCGAAAAATTCAGGCATTCTCCGTTTATGTAAAGATTAAACAACATTTGCACAGCGTATACATTTTCTATACCTAATATTTATACAGCTGAAATAAATCACCACGCGGTTCCAAATCTTCGATAAACAAACACGAGAAGAGCTTTGAGAACGTTGCATGAAAAATTTTTAATATACAGTGGGGAAAAATAACATATGAATTTATTTCATTCTTCGTTAAAATCATCAAAGTAGAAAAAAGCCTTCGATTTATTCTACCGATTCAAGATTATACTTGCGCGATGCACCATGATAACTAAAGAACATATCTAATGAAAGCCATAAAAAAATATTGGATATAATGCAATTCTTCACGAAGTAATATAAAAGTTGTACGAAATCGGAAAGACAATGAAACGATGATTCGTTAAAAAGAATATTGATAATAAAAAGTAAAAATGACTTACCTTGGTCGGCTACGAAATCCGTGATGAGCAATGTCTCGTCGTCTAGAGCAGTGACGAGGCTGTCCGTGCAAGTGTTCGTGTTCTCGATGCTGATCTTGATGCTGTCATCTTTGTTAAGCCGTGGATGATTGTTCGCGGCGGGGTTATTACCGGCGTGGCAGTTATTGTTGTTGTTGTTATTATTATTATGGTTGTTGTTGTTATTGTTATTGTTGCCCCCCTGCTGCTGGCCGAGGTGGTGATGGGGTGAACGAACGGATTCTGTGCTGCTGGTGTGCAAACTAACCCCCGTAGTCGCTCTTCCGTTCACCAGCCGTAGACTCGGTGCCCGTCGACCTCCACCTCCTCCTCCACCCCCACCAGCGCTGGTCACAGAACGGCCGCCACCGCCGCCACTCTCGCCCTCCCTGAAAAACAACGTTTAATTTCTCGTTCAACATTGTTCTGATACTCTCAACTTCTTATTTTTACTATACTATATTTTAATGGCATCAAGTAGATGAAAAAAGTTTATACGTATACTTAGACTGACGCTCGAAAATGCTTTATTAAAAAATTATAAACGTTCGGAGATTTACTGGTAAAACTATTCTTACGTATTTATGGGAACACGCATAACAATTGGTTTATGAGAAAATAGAAAGAGAAATAGAAGAAAGTATGGAATATATTCATATGACGCTTTGTTTCTGAAAAGATCGAATTTGGAAAATTATCAAAGATGTACTTGGATTCTAATTTTCGATTGGACAGGAGTAAATATCGATAGGAGCTTATGCTACGTGCGAAAATAGGTCGAAAATGAAGAATAGAATGTTCTCATAAAGCGTTTTGTGTCCGAAAAAAATTCGAAACTTGATCGTACGTATGTACCAGGCCAGTTCTGAAGTAAACACACTCGGATATTTTCTTGAGAATGAATCTTCAAAGAGAAAAATCTCATTCTATCATTTTTTTTATTTCGTATCTCTGCCGAGCTTAACGCGCGACGAATATATTTATGGATGTGATCGGAATTGGTATTCGAAACTAAAAATATATAAATAAGAAAATTGAAAAATATACATATGAGAAGTGAAGCTATTACAATGTAGGTTTTTATATTTAGAATTTTGACGAATGATTAAAACTGCAAAATATATAAAAATATAAACATATGTCAAGGTAAACGTACAAATGTATACAAATGTACAAGAAAAGCAACAATATAAAAGTACGATGCAATAGACCAGAGGAAGTAGTTTTATAAATCAGGAGGAATATTTAGTCTGAAGAAATATAAAAAAATCGAGCGAAGTACGAAGAGTATTAAATTATAATGCAATAGAAGAAATTATTTTACGAATCAGAAGGAATATTTAGTACGAAGAAATGTATTGAAAAATTCAAAATAGACAATACAAACCTTGTGTTAAATAAATTGAAAATGCTTGTCGTATGAGTGAATAACGTAAAATTTATGAAAACTACACTGCACGTAAACGAAAATAAAGCGTATAAGACACGACGAACTGTATTGCACGAGAAGAAAAACAAGACTGAGAGTCCTTCAGTTATTGTTTTGGTATGGAACCCCAGGATTGTATACAGGTGTGGTTTCAATATTTACATGCCTGCTTTCATAATTTGGGATTGGTTCGGAGAGTGTATTGAAGGTTTTCCTTAGCAGGTATACGAAATACCCTAAGGGCAGGTAGTTAGAAAGGTGAAAACAGATAACGCACGTTTATCATCAGGAAGTGTTTAAAATATTTCAAATATTGATTTTTACGATCTGCGTTCTTTTTCACTTACGAAAAGGTTCAATTATTTCGTATGCGCTACACTTTAATAATAAAATTGTGGGTGTGGTTTATGTTAGTCATTAAGTAAAACTTAGAAGTTTGTAATGAAAATTTGCAATATTTTTATCCTTTTAAAGAAAATGCATAACTTGCAGTCTCTAATATAATAAAGTCTCTATATCTAAGTCTCTAATATAATAAATTAGTATAACAGAAAGACATTGAAAATTTAGTATATGAATTAAATTTCTTGCATTGAAAGAATATTTATAAATTCAAATATTCGCACACCATGCATCTTCTCCATAAAAAAGCTTGTTACCTTTTATGGTGGCTCTTTTCTTTCACAAAAACACCATCAACGAGATATAAAAAATCTTATTTTCTTGTCCTCACAACTTCATTATTATCAAAGTTACAATAAGAGTCACTAGCATAAAAAAAAAAATACTAAAAGCAAGAAAAGAAAAAATAAAACAAATGAATACCTATGGTAAAAACATATAATAAATAATGCTTTTTTCACTCTTTATAACAAGACATTTTTAAATTTTACTACGCTATCGAGCAATCGCGTCCATATTAGCAAATGTGTCTTTATATTTGATTTTGACAGCAAATTCAATTTATTGGGATTCGATTGTGTGACAAAGCTCCCGTAACGAGACTGAGAATCTCGTAAAAAATTTAGTCGATTTGATTTCTAACGCTCTTATACGTTCTTCGCGCCAAAAATCAGACAATAATCTCTAAGAATTACCCTAACAAAACTAATTACCAAAATCTTGAAATCTCAAACCAAACACACAACACAGCTTCTTATTATTAATCCCATTAATCTTCAAAGAAATGATTTTCACAACGAACAAGATCGCAAAATTATATCCTAATACACGAATCGCAGTGACTCTCTGAAATCTCAGCACGCTTTCTCTTTCCAAACGATCAACAAATTCGTCGATGAAGGAGCAACGCAAGCATCTCAATTGTGATCGATACACACGTATCTCACGTGTTTGACTTGCACGTTAAGGAAGTGGTATACCCTTGGAAACCATCTACATACAGCGTAGCGGTTCGTCTGCAAAACCGTCCTCGACCATCGTTCCACTTTTTAATCTTTCCATCTCTCGAAATCGTCCTTGCCATTCTGGACGCTCGGTTATCGCTGCGTATTATCGCCCTCCACAGATTCTCCACTGATTCTTGTCTCCCTTTCTATACATCTATTCAGCCGATCGACGATCTTTTCTCAATTGTTTGCTTATGGTCGTTGACACGATTAATAGATAAACTTGTTTGTTATTTATGCATATCTAGATCGTGATATTAATGTTCGATAGACAAGTATTTAGTAGTTTTTATGATTCAGTGAAAGGGAAGTGGTTGTTCTTTGTATCTTTGAATGTAAGTGATTTAGATTTAGAGGAATTGGAACATTTTGGAGAACTATCGATGGTATGTACAAATAATGGTCTTTGCATTTGTGTATTAACATCACTTGGTAATTTTTAAAGAAGATAAATCTAGAAAGAAGAGACGACTAAATTACTCTGTTCTTATAGATCGAAACGTTCTCCCAATGAACTTTTACGACTTTTTTGGACATGGTTCTCCTAAGGTAATCGTCAGAGACCACGAAAAGTATCCATCAGATGAAAGCAGATCAGAGGCGGAAGATCAAACGACAAGGAACGCGGGCATAATGACCTTAGGTGGTGTTTAGGTAACTCGTGTTTTGTTTTTATCGCCGAATCGTTTGCGATGAGGAAAAAGCCAGATCCCGGAACTTTTGAGTCGCTTACGAGCTTTGTGAATGAAACGTCGCAGTTGCGAGTAAATGGCTCTTTACCAACGTTTTTCTTCCATCTTTCCGGATTCCACTCCTCAAGCATCGATCTCGTTTTCTTGGTCTACGACGTCGTTCGACGTCTCATTAGCAGGGTAATTAGTTTCCTCTTTTGACAAATTTTTATCTCTGTTGAGATGCGATTACATCTTTAGACACAACGTTAGGCAATATTCTGAGGAGACAAGAAGTTCTGGAGTGAATGATAAAGAAAATTTGACTTATGACACATAAGAATTATTTATTTTATTATGTAAATAGATCGCGGTTTTTTACGCATTTGTGGAAAATTTGCACGTAATACGACGAAATATGTATGCTTCCTTTAATATTTTTCTATAATACTTAATAGGTAATGCAATTGTCTACCCTTTTGTCTTTTACCGGGATTTTACTTTTTTAAATATATTCTCGCAGATAAATTTGCATAAAAATCTGTAAGTCTAATTAGAAAATATTATTGTAGGAATTATCAAAAAATATGGACTACGGGGCCTAAACCTGGAATCTGTAGCTGGACTACTACACTAAGGCAATGGCAGTACGGATATTCACACAAACTTATTCTTCTTCACAATCACTTCGATGACAGGTGACCTTCGTTTCGTTGTTCGGGGTTAGTATCAATGTTGCTGTGTTACAAGTATTACGAATATGAGGAAGAGAGTTTTTTTTTCCTCTTTTCTTTTTCTTTTTTCTTTCTTAGGTTGCTTTTTTTTATTTTTCACATTTTTTCTATGTTGTTTTCATAGGTAAGCTTTTTTTATTTTTATTTTTTTTATTTCTTTCTATTTTATTTTTATTTTTCACATCTCGGGAGAGTAATGTCCTAGAGAGACCTAAGACATAGAAAAGAGAAGCTGCGTCGTCCAAGTACGGATTCTCACACACATCACATTTCACTTCTGATCCTGAACAGACCTTAAGTCAAAATCCAGGAGGGCACGGATTCGAACCGCCAACCTATGTGTTTGCAGTCAGCTACAGTAACCACATAGCCACCGTCGTCCTGTACAAAGTGTAGTTCCATAATTCCTATTTGAGGCTAAACATTCTGATCTCCCACTATTAGATATATATTATTCATTATAAAATATATATGAAACTTTACTTCCTTTGTTTTAACCTTCCTCTCAACCTACCCCTCCCCAAAGTTACACAGCACCCAAAAAGCAGACTACCGAAGCGTCCTGTTTTGCGACCAAGTTTACAGGACAGAAAAAAATAAAAAAATATTCATAAAAAAGCTCCGCTCCCCAGCGGCTTAAACCCAAAAATTGTATTATACACGAAAAATATAAAGCGCCGACACATAATACAGCATGGCTACGTCGTACCGCCGCGTATCGGTACCTTTGCCTAACATATCATTACAAAAATTCACCGTTTATTGTGAATATGTATCTAAAACTGTATCTTGGGCTAAATAAACAAATAAAAAAAAATATATTATTCATTATAAAATATATATGAAACTTTACTTCCTTTGTGTTATAGTAAAAAACGTGTATATACTATTTTATAATAAAATAAATAATTCTTATCGTTTATAATGACAAGGAACGCGGACATAATGACCTTAGGTCGCTGCTATCGACAGCTCGTTTCGCAAGAAACGATTTCTTCCGCGGCTATTCTGTGGTCTGATCGCAATTCAGATAAGTATCTGGCACGAGCGACGCTCTTCTTATATATCTTCTGTTTCCAATTTTTGCATCCTTTCTTACGTAACGTCTACGAACAGGCGTCATCTAAATTTCTGTTTCTATAGTAAACGATTGAAGAATTAAAATTACTATGTTGCATATTTCGCGTAAGTAATTAATTAATCGATGACGAGCTAATAATACTTTTCAACTGGAATGGAAAAATGAGAATCAAGCTTGATTGCATTTAAATATATACTTCGACCGTTGAAATTATTATAATCGAATCTCCAATTTCTATGCACATATTTTAATCTTCAACCTGAATTTCAATAAATTGCCCGTTAGCTATTGATAGAAGATCGGAAAATATTTCGTAGGAAGATTCATTTAACACTAATCTTGCCAGGTCCGATCAAATGACTATTTCCAAAATTTTATTTAAAATTGTACGTTCATTATTATTTCTTTTGTTCATCTAACTTTATGTAAATTCTTATATTAACAAAAATTGAGGAACTGATTAATCAGATAATATAAGAATTTACATAATGTTAGATTGAGGTTAGGTTAAGTTAGCCTGGTAAGGTTAGCGTTAATTTAAGAACACCATATAATGTTGTCTCAATACCAGAAGAATAAAAAAAACCTTTTTACAGATACATATACGTCTTTCAAGTTAATATTCGCGATTAATGGATATATGTATACAATAAATATACCTAAATACAGTATGAATATTTTAATACTAAATATTTTACCTTACAGATATCTTAATATACTGATTTCTTAATTAAATCTTAGTATCTTAATTAAACGTTTAATATTTTGAAATTGACTATTTTATAATTTATAACTATTGAAATACTTTAAAAACTACATATTTTATAATACTAATAAAAATTGCATAATTTAAGGCTATAGTATGTCTAATGTTATTTATCGATGTCGATCAACTGTTCATTCGTAAACGAACTCGCGATTATACCAAATCACGAATACAACTCTCGCTTAGCATATAGCGATCGTCAATTTGCTATAACAACGCATAACCAACAAATTCCATTAAGCGACAATTTACACGATCGAAGAATCCCTTTTCCGGAGTAACGTTATTATTGTTATTACTATTACCATCGTGGCGTACAACAAATTGTCCATTTACCCGAGAATATTGTTTAAGCGGTTTAATAAAGCAGTCTGTACACAGCGGGCAGCGAATAATCGTGGTTAATCTTCGAAGAGTACACACGATAATGCCGTTCAATTCTCTGAGGTCAGTTTCAAGTACGCCAATGAATATTTATTAGCACTAAATCAAGGGACTCAGCCTCTCGAGCTCTCGAGAATACAAATTGCCATACGCGTTCACCTCTTGCAAATGCAACCATCAACGTCTTATGGCAGTTATGGCGAATGCATAGGAGGGGACGCCACGAAATTATTACTTGAAATCTTGTGCATTTCTCGTCTACAGTCAGTTATAAAAATCTACATACATCCCTTGAATATAAAATATTATTGTAAAAACAGCTGGAATTTTCTTTGACACGTTAAAACACACATTATTAAAATGTAGAGTAATTAATTCGCCTTTACCATTATTAAGAGAAAAAAGTAGAAAAAATATAAAATACAGTGTTACAAAAATTACATACAGCTGTTATGTCTATATGAAATCAGAAAAATAAGCTTGATACTATATTAGTATCTGGCAGGATTATGTCGAATTTGCGCAAAATTTATATCAGTCCCTGTTTGTGTCGGAGGATTATGTGTTGTATAATTTTATAGTAAAATATAAATACACGTTATGTATATATTAATACATAGATAGCCATAAAAGAGTCATATTGTCAAAATTTATCACACATTATTTAGTTTCGCCTTTGTTAAGGAAAAAGGAGTAAGAAAAATATAAAACGAAATGATACAAAAATTAGATACATTTGTTGCATCTATATGAAATCATAAAAATAACGTTGAAAAAATTATAAGTTTTGTAATTTCTAACGTAATTGTATTGCAAGATTTTTTGCAAGTTAAACGTTCTAACTCTTTTCTACCTCTTTTTTAAATATATCAATAATAATTGTCTCCATACGCAGATATAAATAATTTTGTGAAAAAGTGCATTTTTAGCTTTTTGGTATAACACGTACACAAAATTCAATGGGTGTATCTAAACTGTTGTGACTGAGTGTATATTCTTTTGTATGTATATGACTTGCGCAAGATCCATTTTGAGCACGTCCAGCTAATTTATCGAGGATTTTTACGGCGTGAACGAGGAAGAAGGAAACCTTGACTGATATTGCTTCGAATCTCGTTTGGCAGAGAGAGAGAGAGAAAGAGGGAGAAAGAAAGAGAGAGAGAGAAAGAGAGAGAGAGAGAAAAGAAACTGAGTTCGCATCCCGTTTTAAGAATTTTTTAGCCTACTAACCGAGGAAGACGAGTTACAGTCATCGTCAAAAGTCTTCGACAATATAATCTTGTACAATATAAGAATGTCATTTATACCGAAAAAATATGGGCGAGTGATTTTAAAATAAAATTTACACGGAGGGGTACAGCTTCCTTTTTCCACATGTTTTTGACAAATTCGAATCTAGTCGGTCAATATTCGAAGCTGCTTGTGAGCTGTATTTCAGCTCATCGCTGATAATCATATCAGTCAACTGTTTCCTTTTTGTTATTTTAAAAATCGCGTATACCGAGCTACTCGTGTGAGGCTTCGCGACACAACAATTTCTATGTACAATGATAAAATAGGAACTCTGAGAAATACCACCTACACCGCATTATACCTCTGTCACATAAATCCTCTTTGCTTTTCAAGCAGCAGTTCCGCGACAATCGAATTTAACCTGCATTGTTTGCTGGAAAAAAAGAAGATGACATCTCGGCGCGAGCGCGCTGTTGCACAATGTCGCGCGCGCCATTTAACAAGACTCGCTAGCCGCCCGATGAACCGGACTTAATTTCACTTTCATTGAATGCGAGGAAACCTCGCGTCGCGGATAAATTCGCAAATTAATTCTATTGGCTCCGCGCGTCGTGAGATGAATATGGCCTCGCGCATTTATTGAACCGCGCGCCGCGCAGATGATCGTTCCGTCGCCGCGAGCATTCCGCGGAAAAGCCGCGTTTCCATCGCGATCCACCTCTCGACATTACAGTTACTCGCATTAACATTCGGACACAACACCATCTATTTAATTAAATCGCTTTTAAAGAAAGATAAGCGTTTTTCTATATTTCATCTAAAGTGATACTGCGTTATTCGTTAACAATTGGCTTTGAAGTGTAACAAAAAGATACTTATAGTTGATAGAGAGGTACAGAGACTATGTCATTTCTTGTCCGAACTACTCTAAGAAAGTTATACAAGAGGGTTGTTTTAATTATTGAACAAGTTGTTTGCAATCCCACTATACACGATTATTAATAAATACAATGTAATCACATGGACATAAAAAATTCGTAGAGGTCAGAAACTTTGCAAATGTGCGGTCAAACGTAGAAACAAAGAATAAACTGGAGCAAAGCATTTTTCTTCAAGCAATTATAAGTTTTTTAAACTCGAAATCGAACTAAAAAATTACCATTAACGACAATTCTCGTTCACATAATCAAACGAAATTTTGATTATAAAATATTTACACAAGCCTCCGTAAAAGCTTGCGAAATCCACTAACTTCCTTAAACACCTACAATTTCGCAAATACGTTTCTTTCGCAAAATAAACTTGCAAAATATAATAATTCCAAACAAGCGTGTTGTTCAATGATTCTCTCATGACACCTGCCATGCACAATCCGCCAAACGATATCTCGTCACAGATGCTTCGCCATATCAACCCCCGTCACTATAGCATCATGATCGACGAGGAAAACAAACGAAACGCAGTGGTCCCTACTGAAACGAGAAATCTGTCCAACGCAACCCAACGACCTAGTTTCCATGGTCGAACAGAGATTCGTGTTACACGACCAACCCGTTCACGAGTCATTGTAATCACTCTTATTTGATTCAAGCCAGCCAAGCGACCCTGCCTAATCGAACGCTAATTATCCTACCCCCAATTAACAAGAACGTCGATACGGGGCCACGAACAATAAGCGTTGGCCAGGAAAAATATCAACGAGTGGATGTCTCACCTTGCTCAGTTGCTCTTGATAAAAAAAGAGGAAAAGTTATACATATACGTGCATAATAATTTGGACTACAGAGAAACGCGGACGAGAGTCAACCTTAAACCTGCCGCGACCTTCGAATTTTTATACTTCGATTTTATCGCCGGTTTAACCAACGAAA